TAGTTTAGCTCAGGACTTGGCAAAACAAAAAGTCTAAAAGTAAACAAAAAGCTTGCATCTCCATTAGCACTGGAGATGTAGAGCTCAATAGGAGTGAAAACCATCACACACTTTGTTAAGCAAACAGAGAGCACACATTTCCCCTTGGATAGGCAGATGTCCTTCATTTCAAGTTGGATTTTTTTCTCTTGGCGAGAAGCTCTTGAAGAAAGCTTAAAAGAGCTACATCCAAGATGTATATCTTGAATATTTACCTTGGCAAGCACTTCCCTCAAGGTGTCAGGATATTTACAAGAATACATTTACTGGAAATCCAAAACACAGACTTGAGAATCAAGCCTAAAGATCTTGGATGTCAGAGAAAAGGGCATAAAAAAAGAAAAAGGTAAACAAAGGACTTCAGTGTGCATTAAGGAAGTAAACAGGTTTGGATCATTATAGTATTCACTACTTTAAAAGAGCAGAATGCAATTTAATTATCTTTCTTCCACTGTGTACTGTAGCTTTTCTAACCTTGAGTACAGCTCCTGAACATGGATAAAGAGATTCTCACAATTAAAAGGAAACAGGAGGCCCTCAGATGGGGCTCAGACTCTCAGTTCTCTTTTTTTAGAGCAGCACAGCAGAAACTCTGCCCATAATAGCGATGTTGGTTAATATTTCTTGATCGCCTGCTACTTCCAATCTTCCAATCAGAAATCACTGCCACTCCTACAGTAGCTCTAGGGTTAAGATAGAATCTGTCCCTTCCTCTGGCCCCCAGCGTGGTTCTGAGTAAACACAATTTCTGAGTAGACTGTGCCAGTGGATAGCGGCTGTGTGAGTAGTAGCTCTGATTTGAACTTTAGAGCCATGCCCATACACTTGCACATCTCCTAAATCAATGGGATGTACAGTATTTAAGAACAAAACTATCCCTTTTTCATGCAAGCTGATTTAATGAAAAGGTGCAATTTTTGTAATTTTACTAGACATCTAATTTTGAAGATATTCTAGTCATTAAGAAGCCACCACTGTTAACTCTGAACATACAGTAAGTATACAATTAAAGAGAACAGGATCTCATGGCAGAAGGGATCTGACCGTCCCTGGCTGACCTAGTCTCCGTGGTCCCACCCAGGAGATGAGTTGTTATTGGAAATGACATCAAACCAGATCAGCATTTAGCAGCAGGACATGATGGGAACAGAAGAAAGAGATTCCTGGCCTCTCCCTGTTGGAGGCCTTGAAAGAGGTAACATACTATATAGAGCCCTGCAGTTTTATTCTGCATCTGCGATAAAATATCTGTGTGGTCATCTACATCAGCCACATTGCATAATGCCAGATGACCCCCTTATATTTGTCTTTTCCTTTTTTTTTGCTTGCTGGTGTGTTGCCACTATATTATTTCTGTGTCATACACTGTAGCTGACCATTTGAACAGGGCAGGGCTTTGAATAAGTGGACAGAAATCCTTGTTGCCCAGACCACAATTAGCATTGTTTAAATGATCTTCAAATTGAGGCCATTTCAACAGGGTGCATAAGAAAGGACAGAGAGTGGCTCAAAATAAAGTTCGTTTAGAGACCATTTGTCAGGACAGGCAGATAGGGTGAATGGATCCTGTGCAGGACTCAGGAAAGAGAAACACCAAGCCGAATTGCTAAGCAAAAACGAATACCAGGAAGCGAGCGAGTAGGTCTGTACAGGGGAGAGACAATGGGGGAGCGACAATCCATATCACAAGGAGAATAACGAAACCAGGAAGCAAGCGAGTAGGTCAGATCACGGGAGAGACAACGAGAGGGCAACAATCCAAAACGTAAGGCTAGGTCAAAAACAGAGAGCAAACTAGAAGATCAATACCGAGAGAAGTAGAAAACAGTATCCGCAGTAGTGAGTGGGGAAGTGAGGAAAAATGAGAACTAAAATAGGGACGGGAGTGAGCGGTGATTGGTATATTACTTGCGGCGTGAGCATTTGTTAAAGAGTGTGCGCGTGGGAATGCAAAAAGGGACAGAGACGCGAGTGGAATGCGTAACAGTACCCCCCCTCAGGGTCGGCTCCTGACGACCCAGTAGCCAGAGTGGGATGGGTGCGAAAGAAGTCTCGAATGAGGTTTTGATCCAGGATGTCCACTTCAGAAACCCAGGAATGTTCCTCTGGACCATAACCCTCCCAGTCAATCAAAAACTGGCGGGCGCCTCTACGCCATCAGGTGCCTAAGATTTTATTCACAGTATAGGTGATATAATGATTGGCATATTACTTGCGGCGTGAGCGTTTGTTAAAGAGTGTGCGTGTGGGAATGCAAGAAGGGACAGAGATGCGAGTGGAATGCATAACACCATTAAGCATCTCTTGGGATTGCATGCCCAATCCTCACAGGCCATCCTGTATCTGAGCAGATAAAGATGACTCTTTATCTAGATTGACACTGCCAACATAGCATCACCAACCACCCAGAGGAAATGCAACTGTCACCACATGATACTATACAATGATAGAAAAGTTGCTTTAAAGTGCAGGAAATGCACGAAAGGGACTATTTCTTAATAACTTTTTAAAACAGTAACTGGCATTGTTCTCAAATGTTTAGAGAGAACACCATCCATTTTGAGCACTTGGAACCATCTTGTTTTAGTATTCTGTCGATTGTGATTCTGACATTCTGCCACTTTAGCTGCTCATGCTTACATTTTAGTACATTCCATACTTTAAAGTAGCTCTTTAAAAAAGATCACAGGGACTCAGGTCTGGAGAATATGTTGGCCAAGCCAAAACAAACTACTCTATATAATGACCCAAAATCATTTGATTCTCAGATTATGAATTCAAACAGTCAAACATGGGCGGAAGTGGTACTGTAGGTCAGCACAGTGAGGTTCCAGGTAGGTACAAGAGGGGGGTGACAACACATTCCCATGGAGCAGACTCTCCTTTGCCCTCTCTGAAATTGGGTATACACAATGTGTAGCTAATCAATTTATTTTTATATAGCGCCTTTCACAACAGGTTGCCCCAAGGCGCTTATCAATGCAAGTAACCACACATTTTGTGAATACAGAACAGAAGACCAGAAGACAATGAAGAAGAAGAATGAAAAACTCCTTTGTAAGGAGAAAAAAAACCTGTAGGGGTCCAAGGTCAACTGACTACTCAAACCATTTGGGCATGCTAACATTATATAATTAAAAAAAGGAAATAAATGAATGAGTGTATTAATCCATCCATCCATCCATT